AGAATTCCCCAGCCAGCAAGGCTGGCTGGGGAATTCTGGGAATTGAAGTCCACACATCTTATAGTTGCCAACGTTGAGAAACACTGGGTTAAGTATTGGAATTGAATTCTGGGAATTGAAGTCCACACATCTTAAAGTTGCCAACGTTGAGAAACACTGGGTTAAGTATTGGACCAGCACTGGGGAGACTCAGGTTCAAGTCCCACTCTCAGCCACGGAAGCTCATGGGAGACATTGGGCCAGTCACTCTTCCTTGGCAGCCCCACTACCTCAGGGGAATGTTGTTGTGGGCCAAAAGAGGAGGAGGAATCGTGCACTTGACTTTGAGCTTCAGTCTAACAAGCAAAGAAATAAAGAAATGTCTCCTGTGTGCACTTCTCTGTTGCATTGTTCCACACCCTTTACTTCAGAAGTAGTAAGGGTGCAGTGTCATTACCAGTAACATATATTGATTGATTGATTGATAATGTGCCATCAAATCATTTTCAACTACTGGTGTGTGTGTGTAGAATATGGGAGAGAGCTATCTTAATCTTCCCTTCAAGTAGAAAATATCTTGGGCTTGGTCTACAGAACCAAAGCATATCGGGGTGATAAAAGAAGAAGGAGAAGACTCAGGGCAATAGAGTAGTATACAGAATAGGCAGCAGAATAGGGGCCTGCAGAATACAGACCTGCTGTGAATGGAAGCAAAAGGCAGTAAAGATTTTGGAAAGGAAGAACCAAAAAAAAAAAAAAAGAAAGAGTTAAAAACAAAGCTCACGCTAAGGAGGTTCTGAACTTGGGATCCATGGATGTCAGAGAGCCCGTAAACGTGGGTGGGGGGAAAAATGACATTATTTTCAGTAACTAAAATTCAGCTTTTCATTCAAGAATGAAGGTAGGCAACAAAACAGTTGTTGGCCTCTAGACTCCAGAAGTGTTTGTTAATTTCAATAAATCTCACTACCTATTATTTAATAAGAATAATTTGAATTATGTTTTAATATTTTGATAACTGTACTTGGGCATAATTGGTTTCCTTTGTAATGCTATCTATATCTATGCATTTTATTTTATGTAGCTAAGTCATTGTTTCTCACTCTCAGCAACTTTCACATGTGTGGACTTCAACTCCCAGAATTTGTTAGCCACCTGGCTGGAGAATTCTGGGAGTTGGAGTCCACACATCTTACAATTCTGAGATTGAGGAACACTGATCTAAATGGGTTTTTTGGAGAGGGGTCTGCAGCTTTCACCAGACTGCAAAGGGGTCCATGGCACAAAAAGGTTAACAACCCCTGGCTTAAAGGCAGGAAAAAAGGGTTGTATCGTTGCATGGGAAAGGCAGGGTAGCTAAATGTGCATGGCTGGATAGCTGAATTGCATAGTTTAATTTAAACAAATGCAGTATAGGTACTGCAGTATTTGTAAGTGCAGTATTTGCAGTATTTCTAGCATTATTCAGCGAAAAGAAGAGGGGCAAACCTTCTCATTCCAAGACCCTGTTCTTAACTTCACAAAGTCTCCTCACTTTGAGATAATAAACAGGTAGTCCCCAGTTTAAGAACGAGTTCTGTTCCCAAGGTCTGTCCTTAAGTTGAATTTGTATGTAAGCTGGAACAGTATTATTGTATAATACTCTATAAATAGTATTGTGTAATTAATTTGAACCATTGCGTATTTACCTTGAATTTTGCTACAACAGGCTCCATTCTTAATGATGGATCATCCATAAACTGGGCATTCTTAATGCGGGGACTACCTGTATTTGCAGTATTTCCAGCATTATTTGATGAAAAGAAGACAGGCAAATCTTCTCATTCCAAGACCCTGTCCTTAACTTAAGGAACTTTCTTACTTTGAGATGACATACTATACTCCCAGGGTCAACTTTGCCCCACCTCCTCAGCCTGATTGAATGTAGCTCGAAATTCAGAGGACAGCCAAATCTAGTTTTCCTGAATGACAGCTCTCTGAAGAACCTTTTCAAGAGCTGAGGCAGACTGCTCCAGACCTTCAGGGAAGAGCTCCATTTTTCGGCAAGTCCAGTTTGCCCAGTGATTTCAACTTTGCAAGTGTTCAACCACTTGCCCACGTTGACTAGAATTTAGCCAGATATCAACCTCACCCTTCACTCAAGACATTATTTTGTTGCTCTGGCTATCAAATGTTGATCTGAAGAATGCGGAGGAATCTAGGAAAAATAAACGAGGCAGACTGGGTCTGGTTTAGTTCTGGGGTCAGCGCATGGATGTCACAGCCGGGCTTGAGAATCTGCCGTCATAAATGAAGGCAGCGTTGGAGGAGAGTCCTCAGACCCTTACCTGCAAAGAAACAAACCCTCCAGAGGCCCGCGTGGAGTGCCATGACTATTTCCGTGGTCTGGTTTTGTGGAAATACAATTCCTTCCTCCATGAACAGCCAATAGTCAGTACTGACAGCAATGCCCACCAGAAGCAGCCCGCACGCTCCAAAAACACTAGACAGCAGGGTCAGGGCGCGGCTGCTGCAGTTACTCATCCTAGGTGACAGAAAGAGCCACTGGCCAAATGCAGCGCAAGGACCTGGAAGAGAAAGAAGCCCCAATCAGTCCAAAAGTCCAGGGGGTTACCAAAACCAAACCAAACCCCTTCTGATTTTATTGGAGCATTCGTTGCCCATTTCTGAATCCAATGTGTTGATTCCCAGAGATCCTCAGAACTGCTGGTTCTTAAATGCTTTTATGTTGCCTTGGAGAATTCGTGTTTACCCAGAGAACCATGCAGGGGCACCAAATTCATTAAAACTTTCCCCAGGTCCCCAGAAGCCTGGTAGCTTTCCTAAAGATAATCCCTCTTAGCATTTTTCTGACCCGGAAATGTTGGATATTTGACCATGACGTCCAGAGCAGTGGAAAAGTTTCCTTCTGTAATAAGTACTAGAGCAGGCTTCCCCAAAGTGGGAAAACAGTGATAAATAAGATTACATGTCCCATAACTTCTAGTCTACCGGGATTTGTATTTATAAATACAAGGTGCAAAAATCCTGTACCAGCATTTGGTAGGAAAATACTAGAAATGGCTCAATGTACTGTAGTTTGAAAACTCTTCTTAGGAACTCTATTTTTCCACCTTTGGTCTCTTATTGTTGTTCTCACTGGCTAGAAATTCCAGATTCTAAAATTGAACATTAAACTGAAGATTTCCTCCCATACCAATAAAATGGAGGAATCATTATTACTTGTATCCAGCGTAGCCAATTTTCTGACATTAGGCAAGTGTCATTGTCATTGTCATTTTCCAACCCAAAATTCTTCCAAAGAGTAGAGTTTTCTTCTTCTTTTTCAAAGAGTAACCTGATGTCCACCAAGCTTTGCTATCTAGCCCATGGCTGGCTCCACGTTTGGCAAAGTGACTGTGGATGAGGCCCCTTCTCAAGTTTTGCTGGTTGTGATGGTTGCACTGGGTATTAACAACCTCACTGTTTTGAATTCCATCAGGCAACTAGGTCTGAGAACCACCATTTTCTGATTTCTTACAATACTTCTAAGTACTGTTAGGTTAGAGCCATTGTGGGAAATTTAAATATGGCTGCTGGATCCAGTTGCTTAATGTTGACCAGAATCTCTCACACACACATAAAGAATAGCATTTTACCAGTGGTACAGCCTGCCCCCAGCAGCTATCCAAGTATACAATGTTATGGTAATGATTTTGCCAAACTGTCTTGAAGAATGTGACTTTCCCATCACTTCTTCTAAATGACCCCCCTCCAAAAATACAGGAGTCTTGGACCCTATCTAGAATACACATTTCCCAAAGAGGAGCCTGTAAATCAGTGGTAAAATGCATCTTTTACATGCAGAAGACCCTAGATTTCTTACAGTTTTTCTGGATATATTTTTTTAAAAAAAACCAGAATGCAGAATAGTTCATTTCAGTGTCAACGTAAACACTGCAGGACCATCTTGAATTCATGCTTGTTCCAGCCAATAAAATAATCAATTTATATACAGCTAATATTGACCAACACAGAGATAAGCCATGTTACTGAATTAAACACTGTGCAATACAGCAGAAAGATCCCATATAGCCAGAACAGTGAACTGTGTTGCCCTTGCAATTTAGCTCCTAGGCAAGCTGTAACAACAAAACCTTATGAGAACCTTCTGAGAACACAGATGGTAACAGAGATGCTAAGAATGAGTACAACCTTTTTTTCTGCTTTTATCAAGGTTTTCACCCCTTAATGAGGACATTAAAGACCAGGATTTGAGAGCAGTATTTGATTAGTGTGTGGGAAGAGAGGTTTCATGCTTGATTGTGAAAATACTTTTGCATAGGGCTGGTAGACCAGGACTGGCAACAAGGTTTGGCATAACTTGGCATAACCTGCTGAGATTTAGTCCAATAAGAGGGTCATCTGCCAAGCTCAAACTTCTACGCTTCTGCTCTTGTTCCTTGATCTTACCGATTGCACTTGCCTTCTCCAGAAATGCAAGCCATGACAAGAGTGAGAAAAAGGAGCGTTTTCCACTTTGTCTCCTTCTTACAGTGGAGAGAAGCCACCAAGGGCAACCTACAAAATTTCCTCTCCCCAAACTTGCAGCTGGCATTGGAGTTATGAGGGAACAGTGCCTGTTAACAGTCTGATACAGAATTTCTGCCAAAGATTTATCTGATGATTTTAAAATAATATACGAGTGCCATTTTTTTTTCTTTCCACTCTAGATCTTGTCATAAGATGGACTTCTTTGGAAGTTCTACCTTAGTGCGTTTGGGTGAACTCCTCTTACTCAGAGAGTAGGAAGGAACACTGAACATGCTTAGTTTCCCTTGACATATTATACTTCTGAAACTGGATGGGGAACAACTTGTGTTCCAGGAATAAAAGGTTGAGCTCCTTCAACTATCCCAATTTTCATTCTCAACATTTCTAAGAAGCTTCTTCCGCCTCTCATCCCACCCTACCAAGAATGTCAAAAACCAGGATTCATATGCTTTCTTATGAATATTTTATAGTTTTAGCTATATATAAATGCTTTAAAGAAGTTTAATCTCTTTGGTTTATTTCTCTTTGTAGGGTTATGTTCACGGAATGTGCTTACCCATGGTTAACTTAACATGATTTACTGGATTGGGCCAATTGTCTACGTTTGCACAAGGTGGAAATCTAAGATCTGGTCGTCTATTTTTGTGGTTCAATGTGCTACATGAAAACAGCCAAAATGTAGGTGCCACTTATTCTCAACCACGTGATAGTGCAGTGTTTCTCAACCTTGGCAACTTTAAGATGAGAGGACTTCAACTCCCAGAATTCCCCAGCCAGCATAACTGCACCAATCTCCTTCAAAGATGTGGACTTCTGGGATTCAGGTTCCCTTCCCCATTTTCCCCAATGCCTCCTTGTTTGCTACCCACAAATATTACCCAACCCTGATTTTTTCTGTCACAGAGTTACAATTTTCTTCAGGATATTAAGTTTGCACTTTCAAAGTCTAACATCATCTCCACTTGCAATGGATTTTCAAGAACTTTTCCTCACTTGTATCCCCTGGGGTTCCTAATGATGTTTTCTTTGGCCACATCTGTGCCATTGAGACTTCCCCCCTCCTCCCCAAGATACAATTATCTGTGAGCATGTGTGTGTGTAAGATAGAAAGTGGAATCCGGGTTGGAATAGAGGACCAGGGAAGTACGGCAAAGAATCCAGGCATAAGCTGAATTGCAGCCCCTGTTAGGGGGCTCAGGGATGAAATGGGGTCTTGTCTGTGGCTCTCTATTGCCTTCATATGCATTGTTGATCATTCCTGGCAGTGAAGCATTACCCCAGCTGCTGGCTGAGAAACTTCATCTGATTTCTCCCATCTGCAATGGGTTTATTTTGGTTGCAGAAGGTGACACAATACCCATCCTACTCAAACCCTGTTCCAAATCTGCACACACACACACAACACAATCAGACACATAACTCTGTGTGTGCGTGTGTAGCAGTATATGTGTGAGGTAGGAGTATATGTGTGAGGTAGGAGGAAGATTATATGCTTATGAGCTAGAGAGAAAAGGGATATCTATGTTTACAGGCAGAGACCAAGGTATGGATGAACAGACAATCAAGTTCACACAGATATATATGATTAAATGCAGAGGGATGTTTAAAGAGATGGATGTCACTTGGGAAGATGTCTTCTTTGCTAGAAGGTTTCAAGTAGAAGAGACAGCTTAGAGATGCCTATTCTGGATTTCTTGCTTTTCACACTACCATTTCTGGGTGGTCGGATGTTTGAGAGAGGAAGATTGAAGGATAGAAATGTAAATATTTAAGAGAATATTGGACACTTTAGAAAACACCAGGAGACACAAATGGATTATTCATCTTGCTTTGGTTTACTTAATGTTAGAGTTTCTAATAATTATCTACCTACCTGTCAACCCATCTTCTCTTACTATTAGTTGTGTGCTGTTTACTACACTCTGTGTCCAAGATAGGACAGATTAAACATTTAAGACGCAAAACATGCCCAAAAGCACAAACAGATATTAGAGGGAACTCATATTTCAACCATATACCATTCCCTGTGGGTAAATATTGCATACACATGGTTTGTGCATGATGTTAATTACCCATGATTTATTTATCCATGATTTATCCCATACTGCACTTGACCAAGTTCACACAGCAGACTAAGCAAAAACCAAAAATATATGCACAAGGTCTGTTGACACAAATGGCAAAAAAATAATCCAGCCCACAGAAAGGGGCTGGGAACTGTGCCACTTTTCCTTGGACATTCATCACCATTGTAAATGTTGGCCTGCACAGGCATGTTTTTTCCACCCCCTAAGCCCAAAAGGATTAGGATAATACACTGAAAACATGTTCTGAATGGCAAGCCATATACTTTCCAAATCCTGGTATCCATATGCAAGAAACTCTGATTCTGTGTTCAAGTATTCACTTTAGAATTATGTTTGCCAACAGTTCTGGTTAGATCTCTCCAACTGGATATTTTCCAGATCTCTTCAACTCTTATTGGTCCAACCAGCAGGGTTGCAGGACATCAGATTGGGGAAGGGGGCTTCATGTATTTTGAAAGGATATGAGACTTTAGCGCCTTTGAGTATTATGTTCCCACTCTGCTGGTGAATCCCAGAGAGTGAAAAATATGAAGGCGCTATGGATTTGTTTCAGACTCTCTTAACCATCAGTGGAAACCATATGGCCAAGCCATTTGTCTTCAGTGAGGGCAGCCATCTTTGCCAACCTTGCTCCTGGGTCTTCAACAGCAGCAGAATCCACAGAAATGTAGCAGGTGAATTTTTTGCCAAACACCCCCTCCCCCTTTTTAATGGAAGGAAAAACTAAGCTATAAGCAAAGTTAGCATGATAGATTCATCCAGCTGAATCCAACTGATGCCTTCCAGAGGTGTTAAGCTACAACTTCCATCATCATCAAACAATGCAGGATGGGACCAATTCTCCAAAATGAATAAAGACTACCAGGTTGGGAAATCTGAACTAAATGAGGAGGAACAGCTTCAAATCTGTGTCCAGCCACAAATCTCACTGGATAACTCAGCCTAACCAGTTTGAGGTAAAGACTGGTACACTGTCCTGAATCCCTTGCTGTGTTTGTGTGATATCATCAGAATACAACTAATGCAAGGCTATTTCACAAATCTGTTTTTAGAATAAAAGGGAACATACATACCTATACCTAACCATACCTTCTGCCCCAAGCTTTGGGGGGATGAGATGTAACTGTAAAACACTAAATTTGCAGGCTACTTCTCAGGACTTTCAAGGGACACCAAATGAATTTTAAGAAGACTAATGGTTTTTTGAGGGTGGGTGGGTATTTTTTACTCCTCTATAAATAAATGGCATGTGGAAGTGGAAAATCCTATTTCCATTTTACATATCAGTTTCTGAACTCAAAATGGGAAGCTCTATTTACAGGGAAGCATGATGCCATTTTTATGTGTTCATTTAAATCAGTGTTTCTCAAACTTGGCAACTTTAAGACATGTGGACTTCAACTCCCAGAATTCCCCAGCTGGCTGGGGAATTCTGGGAG